TCCCCTCTTCATGCACGACCTGGAGCTCCCATGGCAGCCTAAGGGGTGCTGCCATCTTCTCTCTCCTCTTTTGGTTCACTTTTCCTTGATGGAAAATCTTTGGCCTTAACGTTTGTTGTTCCCCTCGCCGTGCTTTACCTTTCCCCTAATTAGAATTCAGTTTTGACCATTTCTTGAGTTTGTTTTTGAGGTCAAGTTATGATATTCATGGGGCTTCTTGCGGATTCTTGTTCACGGTGTTGTCCCTGACAAAACCTCTCGGTATCGTCGAATTCGGAACACTTTTTTTTCGATGGGCCTTTGAGGTTTTCATCTCAAATTGAGGTAGGAGATGTTCTAAGTTTAAATTCTTGTTATATAGCATGCTTGTGATGCTTATACTACTTGTTTGCATGATTAAATATAAAATTTAGAGATTTTATTATTTATTTTTCTTGTACGGGATCTAATTTTCCCGGTTGCTCATGACTTGGTTTAAACATGTAGCATGATTTTATATTGCCCCTTGATATGCTCATTGTCGTGTATTAAAATTGGAACATTTGAATAAGTATTAAAGATTTTATTTAATATTTATCTTAGGTGAAAGATTAATTCAAATGGCCTTAACTAGCTTGAAATTAATATGTGTTAGTATATTATATTAGGCCTTAGCATGCTCTTCAACATAGTTGAATTTGAAAGTAATTGGAGGTGTTTTGAAAATTAGTAATTATTAATTAATTTGCCCCGAGTGCACTATTCACTCTATTTAAATTCTGACTTGATATTCTTGATTTACATGCCATATAGCTTCACATATATTTGATTTAGAATATTCGGTTAGGTTTTGAAACCTTTTATTTAATTAAATTCCATGTTTAAGATTTAATCCTCATGGTGATATACAACTTGGAATTGTATTGTGGCATGCTAGAAAATTAAGCTTAGGTTTAGTTGTTCACATATATTAAATTGGGATTAATTACATGAGAATTGTAACTTTTAATTTATATTTAACTTTAGTGAAAGTTTAATTCGCATGGTCGTAAATTGCATGAAATAAGCTTGTAATATGATATTACATTAGTCCTTGGCATGTTCTCTAAGATATGTTAAATTGAGAGCATTTGGTGAAGTTTGAAAATCTAGAGATTTTAATTAAAACAATTAATTAAAATCTATTTTGTGGTCCCATTAGCTTAATTAAGATTTTAACTTGATATTTGTATTGGCCATGATTTGTTTACTAGTATATATTAATTGTGGACCATTTGAAGTTGCTTTAGAACCTTGGTAATTAAATTGGCATAATTTAATTAGAGTTCTACTTTATTGTTCCAATAACCTAATTGAGTTTTAGAATGGATATAGGTGATGACCTTGCCATGCCCTTTAACATGTATTAAATTGAGGTTAATTGAAATTGAATCGGAAATCTAGAGAATTTAATTGTGTTTATCTATTTAAATTCTATCAATTTGCTCCATGATCTAGTTGTGTTTTAGAAGTGGTTTCTATATTCAAATCATGGACTTAGACTTGTTGTATATTCATTTGATTATGTTTTGAACATTGGATAACATAGTTGCTATGTTTGTACTTATGAGAATATGTTTTTCTTATTCAATATATTGTTGCCTTGTGTAATGATTTGCACACTTCGCATTTAACATCATTCATGCATATCGTGTAACGAATCGCACACTGAAGATTCAACATTCATCACATCATATTAGTTATGGACTTAGAGCATGTATTGTATAGGTTTCCAAATTTGGTTGTGCTTGGTAGATAGTTGATTATCTTGCATATTCCTGTTGATATATGCGTTGTTGCACAACTTGTTGATTTTGGAAACTTGGGGATGTCGTTGTTTGACTATGGCTAGGACGTGGTTCTAGTACGGGGGATAGTCCCTCTATATGGTCTAGTGCGCACGTAGGGAGGTTACCCATGGGCTAGTAACCCTAAAGTAACTATGTTGTCGGTTTGATCCGGCGTGACGTCCGAGTATCCACTTTGTTTGATTTCGCATTTCATTTTTAAGTTGATAACTAGATGATGTTGTAATTTGTTGTTTCTTATTTGTCGTTCCATTTTAAGTTACAGGATGTTAACTTTGCGAAATTGTGCTTTATGCGTTGTATTGGAAGTTCCAATGCTGGTTAAATTGCATCGATATTGAAAATCGTGTTTTGACGTTCTAATAAAGCTTAGGATTGATCCTATTATTTCATTTATAACATAGACGTTAGGTAGCATGAACCACTATTGTTATTTTGTGCTTTAGATTCTAAGATGATGGCTTTGAGAACTTAAACCTTGTTGCATTGTATAACATGCTCTTTTGTTGTTGAATTGCATGGATAATGTGATTCTTGTTAACTTGTACTCAAATATGCTTTTGTCATGTTGTATGGATTACTCTAGACCTAGTTCAATTGTATTGAAAATGCAATTCATGTTAATCTATGTTCAAGCGTTCTTCTTGTCGTGTTCTTTGGATTATCCCAACCATGATTCATTTCATACACGTATGTATATCATGATTCTTGTTGCTTAGACTCTAAGGTAGCTTAGGATGCTCCCCGAGTCTCACTTGGACATAGACGTTAGGTGGCATGAGCCCCTTTAACATGTTTCACCTTAAGGTGATAAATTTGTAAAATGCAAGGTCGATGCATACTCATCTCCTACGAGTAGCTTTATGTTACTCACCCCTACGTTACTAGGGCATATTTCAGGTACGAAGACTTGGTTCGTGACGCCTAGCATTCCTTGGATGCAGCTTTCAAGTTCCCATTTCATGCAAATGTTAGCATGAAATGTTATTTTGTAGACTTATATGTAAAATTTGTATTCCTTGATTCCATGTATGTAATGTGTACATAATTGCACTCCTTTCAATGTATTTGACATGTATGAGATGAGGCCGGAGGCCAATTACATGTGTATTGTATTCTATACAACTTTTTAACTTCATGAAATATTGTGAAAATCTTAAAAAATCGCAAGTCATTGCTTTACCGTGGTTGCATCGGGTGTGAGAATTCCATTTTCATTCTTTCATAGGGTCTTATAAATCATGTTTGAAGTGTGGCCAAGGGCCAAACGGTCATTTGACCCCGTTTTGTACTTTTGGATTCCGAGTTTTCATTCCAAGTTTCATTTTTGCCTTTTTGCCCGTTGGGGGGTTGAATTTTGTATCGGTGGTATATTTAAGTCGTGGACCATTGTAGCACATCCAAATAAGTAAGTTACATTTACGTGCATGGTCGTTTCCGGGCAAAACCTTATCGTTTGTGTTTTGAGCCTCTTATGAATTCATTTCGCATTTTTTTTGCATATTCTGATCTAGGGGCATTATGGACTTTTCACGATGGTTTTATTTTCTTCTTTCAACATGGTCGAATAGAAAACATGATTTTAGGGAGGGTTTCTTTTCCGTGTTTTTCCAGAAAATGTCATCTTGGCATCGGAAATCGTATCCGAAGTTCAGCTCTCAGTTTTTAAATTTAGCAGCTTTTTGGACCCTCTGGACCAGTTTTCTTGGGAGGGCATTTTGGGCATTTCATAGTGATTTTTTTTCGATTTTCCTTGCGAGTCACGTAGAAAACTCGATTTTGAGGGGGGTTTCTTCTTTGTGTTTTTGCAAAAAAATTCATCTAGGCCTCCAAATTCAGCCTCTGATCTAGATTTTTCTGGAAAATAACCCCATAGCAGCTTTTGGGCTGCTGCTGCCAGCCATGGTGCACTAAACGCGCGCGCGGCGTGCATGGGCGCGCGCATGGGCGTGCGCATGGGGCTGTCATGGCCCCTCGTCGGGCCGCCGCGACGTCAATTCTTCTTTTGGGCTTTTCTCCTTCGTCCAGACTCCGATTCAAGTGAATTTTTTTTTGAACTTGACTAATTTTTCGTTGTCTTTCCAACGGTGTGCTCAGTTGTACCCGGTTCTTCCTGAATAATTACCAGTTTACCCTTTTTGCCTTAAGTAATCGTTTTTATTCGTCATGCCGTTTCTCCTTCGTCTGGACTCCGAATCATGCGATTCTTGAGTCCATCTTGATTAGTTTTTCGTTTTCCTTCCAGCGGTATGCACGGTGGCACCCGAATCTACAGTTTTCAGAAATGACCATTTTGCCCTTGGGGCCCTGTTCGGTCTTTTTCTGATCATTCATTCCCGCATTAGTTCTTATTGAGTTCCACGACCTCATGGAAGGTCACTTTGACTTCTTAGATTCTTGTTTTCTATTTTCGCTTCCGCATTCGGATCCGTTATCGGGTCAACCTTCGATTCATCACAGGACACGCTGGCCTAAAGACCAGGGTCGTTACAGAGGGGGGAGAGAGAGTACCTGAAGAGAGCTGAGTTGAGAGTGGAGGTGGAACCGAACAAGCCGATCGCAAGGTCAATAGCCGAAGAGGGTGATTGGAGATTCGGAGTGATGCATGACTCATGAAATACAACGAAGCTTTATTTCGGATCCACAGTTTTAGGCCACTGAGTCCACAAAAGAATTTGGGCATTCGGATTTCGTGGGCCCTAAAGTTATCAATATATGTATTCTGCATATGCATACCTTCGCATACATCATCAAATCACATTGTAAATGCACTCCAAAACATCACATGCATCATATTGCATTCATTAATGTGTGTGTGTGTGTGTGTGTGTGTATATATATATATATATGGGTTAAGTGTAAAAAACATCCTTATAGTATGCTTACAGTGCATATTGCACCCCTCCCGCTCAAAAAACACTCATAAACTATGATATTTGTGCAAATAGGTCCTATTTATAAAAATTGGACTAAAATACCCTTAGCAACAAATTTTATATAATATATATATATAAAAATATTTTATGAAATGACTAAAATATCCCTCAATTTATTATAAATTTACAAAATATATATATATACAGATACATATATACAGAGGCATATATATAATAGGTCTCGGTAGAGCCGGCGGGATGGAGAACTCATCGAGCATATAGAGAGTTACATAGTGAGTCACTTTTCGGTCAATGAGCTCAGCGGGATGGAGAACTCGTTGAGCATGGTGAGACGTATGGCGCCAAATATATCCCTGGGACGATGAACCATCCACGATAAGCCCTCCTTCTTCCCATCATCTTCCCACAAAATATCTTCAAGGGTATAGTAAAAATTGGGTGCATCTAGCCTAGGAAGATCCTCATGAAATGGAGGGTCATGGGGTTGAAAATTGCCCCACAGTTCAAACGGACCCGCGTAACGCTTTCGACCCCTTTGAAGGCAAATGTGCTGCAAATTTGGGGAATTAGGTATCCTTGCATTGAGCACATTTCTCAACATTTTTCTATTCACTTCGCAACTTTCGATTTCAGTGGATTGATTGGCCCAAGTTACATAGAAGATGTGAGTGATGTCTTGGAGGGTTGAGAGCTTAGATTGGGTTTCTTCGGGGTCCGAGACATCACACTGGATATATTCGACGGGGTGATTGGCGTTCCAAGACGGGCGTAGGCGGCGGGTGATACCGTAGACCTTCCATGGGTTGCCAGGGGTTTCAGAGAAGGGGAGGATCTCGGCGAGGCTATTGCCAACGATGCCGATCACGTCCATGATTAGACCAACGCTTTGGTACCCTAGTGTCGCATCGTTGTCTTCTAATTTCTTCTGTAATTATATGATTGGAATGTGGTAATTGATTAGATCGATTTGTTAGTATGAAAAACAATATTGGATTTGTTAGTATGAAAAATAATATTGGCGAGACGATGGCTGAGTCGAATTTGTTTGGGTTTATTAGTTGTGCTTCCAGGTGCGGCACTCCACAGCAATTTGAGAATCCCACGTCCTTCTTCTTCTTCCCCGACCACAAGCTCCAAAACGCCATCAACCTTGTGAACACATACCTCTCTGGCAGCCTCTTCTCGACCGTCTACAACCTCCACCTCTGTGACCTTGGCATCAGCAAGATCTGTTTGGTAGGGATATTTTTGGAAGAGTAAAAAAGTAAAATGGGAATTATATTATTTGAGGGGTATTTTCGCACAAATTGAAAAGAATAGGGGTGTTTTTTGCATACCTTTTTAAATAGGGGTAAAAGTACTATGAAAGGTATACTTCAGGTGTTTATTACACTTACCCCATATATATATATATATATATATATATATATATATATATATATATATATATATATATACAGACAAATCACTTATCCGAACCGAAAAGGAGATCGAAACCCCCCACCTTTTAGAGAGCGTTCAATATATCACAATTTCATTGAGCAGCCGCGTTTAGTCGCTTTCTAATACAGGTTTGGGGTAAGTATCCATGCAATGTCCCGTTTAACCTAAATGTTTGACCAATAAAGGTTTAGATGAAAATCATGATTTTTTTTTTCTTGATTTAAATATAAAAATATTGCATTATTGGATATTAATTTAGGTTTTGGAAATCTATCATAAAGAGTTTATACTATCATAAAGAGTATATACTATGCTTCTAGGATTGGTCTTGTTTTTAAAGTCTTACTTCTATAGATAAAATATTTTGTTCTTTTATTATTATTTTTTTCATCTAAATTGATTAATACTTCACATATTAGTTGGTATCCACGAGGACTTTGTGACCCAATGGTATCTCTTTTACTTTTCAAAATAGATGGTTAAGGTTCAATTAAGTTTTCAAAGTAACAAAATGGGTCTGTGGAGAAATTTTCTTTAAAATTAATTGTGATATTAATTTTTTTTTAGGTATGTTATGAATTCATTTTTATTATTTATGATTTGTAAGATTAAATGATCCACAATATTAGTCAAGTCATTTTTTTCACAATGATTTTTAACCACGTGCATTTGCATGTGCTTTTTATCGTTCTATAAAAAAGTTAGTGTCTAGGTATAACGGATGAGCGCTTGCCCATTTATTCAAAAACTCAAACTATTGGGTAGTGCTACATACCCACCCATTTATACCAAAATACTTTCCCATCCGAATTCGATGTAGGACAAATGACCCTTGTTAACGAGGGTCACACTACCTATCCAGGCTGTAAACCCGGACGCCCTCCGGGCGGGACGCTTGGTGTGGCATCGAATCAAAGATTGGATCTGCCTCTGATACCAACTGTAATGGGTGGACGCTTGCCTATTTATCCAAAAGTTCAAATTATTAAATAGTGTTGCATACCCACCCATTTATACCCAATCATTTTCTTTTTTATCTTAATCCAATGTGGAACAAATGATCCTTGTTACACTAGGGCTATTGTTGATCGGAGCGTGAATTTAGTGTGTTTGTGTGTGCTAAAATTCTAATTTAAAAACCTAAATTATATAATTTAGGGAAGAGTTAGAAAGAAAATACAATTTTCTTTAATAAAAAGATAAATTAATTAAGAAACATTATAAATAAAAAATAAATAAACATATGGTATGAAACTCATTCACCCTATAGGTGAGATTGGAATCACCTAGCGTGGATGCGCGTGTAGGATTTTTTAAAATTTTGTTTACTGTTCACTGTACTCCTCCTCACTTCAACCTCCAAGATGTGACACCCCTTGGATTTCTCCTCCACATGATAGCGTCTCTTTTTCATGCCGTTCAAAAAAGTCCGACCCCAAGATTCTTTGTCAATAATAATACTACCATAAACTACCATGAACTTAGCCAATTACAAGGTGTTAAACCATATCATTTGTTCCTTCACCCCAACACTGGAATGGAGTCAACGCCACCCATCTACTGCCTCAAGCTCCTCCTCTTCCTCTCCGTCCTCCACCACCACCACCACCACCACCACTTCCCAACCATATCATCAGCCACTTCAACCCCCCTCCTCCCCCAAGATGCCCTCCCCACAAATTCCGGTTACCTCCCGGTCAATTCGACAACCGGTTCAGCCATTTTCTACACCTTCTATGAAGCCCAAACGCCCAATTCACCTCTCTCTAAAACCCCACTTCTCATTTGGCTCCAAGGAGGCCCTGGCTGCTCCTCCATGCTAGGCAACTTCTACGGGCTCGGCCCGTGGCGTCTCTCTTCTTACAAGCAAAACGTCGAACACCTTGCGCTTGAACCCAATTCGGGCTCTTGGAACCGATTGTTCGGCCTCCTTTTCCTTGATAATCCAATTGGGACCGGTTTTAGCATCGCATCGACACCTGAAGAAATCCCAAGAGACCAACACGGTGTTGCCAAGCATCTTTTCACCGCGATCACGTCGTTTGTCGCCTTAGACCCATCGTTCAAACTGCGTCCGATATACATTACCGGAGAGAGTTATGCCGGAAAATATGTTCCGGCAATTGGGTACTACATTCTAAAGAAGAACGCACAATTGCCGGCATTGAAGTAGGTGAATTTGGCCGGTGTCGCCATAGGGAACGGATTGACTGACCCGGTGACACAAGTGCCCACTCATGCTGTGAATGCTTACTTTTCTGGATTGATCAATCAGAAGCAGAAGACCCAGTTGGAGGAACTTCAAAATGAAGCTGTTAAACTGACCAAAATGGGTAATTGGAGTGTGGCAAGAAATGCAAAAAACAGAATGTTGAATATGTTGCAAAACATGACAGGACTGGCCACTTTGTTCGACTTCAGAAGGCTTGTTCCTTATGAAACTAGTATAGTCAGCAAATTTTTGGCCAATGTGGAGGTGAAGAAGGCCTTGGGGGTCAACACATCGATGGTATACGAGGAATGCAGTGATGTCGTAGGGGCGGCATTGCATGAAGATGTGATGAAGAGTGTGAAATACATGGTGGAGTTTTTGGTCAGGAACAGTAAGGTGTTGTTGTACCAAGGGCATTGTGATTTGACAGATGGTGTGGTGTCGACTGAGGCTTGGGTGAAGAAAATGAAATGGGAGGGAATTGGGAAGTTTAAGGAAGCCGAGCGAAAGGTATGGAAAGTGAATGGATTGCTTGCTGGGTATGTGCAGAAATGGGGGAGCTTGAGCCATGTTGTGGTCTTGGGAGCTGGACATCTTGTGCCTACCGACCAGGCGGTCAATTCTCAGGCAATGATAGAAGATTGGGTTCTGGAGAGAGGATTGTTTGCTGGTGAACAGATTGGGAATCCGTCTGCAAAATTCCACGGTGCACGTTGAAATTTGACTACTTCTTGTATTTGTTCTTCTTCTTGTTTTAACTTGTTAGCAATTTTAAGTCATGGGCAGGCCAAGAAAAAGTGGAGGTAATGAACTTTCGCTTTTAGTAACTGGAAATGGAATTGCTTAGGAAGATTCAGTCTGCTTCCATTTATCATCCACCATGATAAATTGCTTTCATAGCATTCATTTTTTATTTTATTTTTTCACTTTTATGATTGCGAAAACCAGATTCATTATGATTTTAGAAGTGGTGACAGTTCACACAATTCTGTCTGTTTCTCTTCATCATCCATGCTGATAAACCACTTTCTTAGCATTCTTTTCTCACTTTTCATTGGCAGGAGACTCGATGTAAATCTTAACAGGCATCAAAAATGTCCCGGAAATCGCGAAAATCAAATCCATCTCAATAGGAATATGTTTCTGTCTGATAACAGATTCAAGTCTTCCATCCATATTTCCTATCTCGTTTTAGGGAGTCTCTCTGAGACAATGTTTATGATTGTTGGTAATTTTGTCTTCGTTTATTTGTTCTCTGCATCTGCTGCTATTGCAAGAACTGATATACTCACTGCAAAAAAGAAAATGAAGCTACTTTGGTGTCAACAATGTGTTTTACACTTTGAGGATTTGGGCTAATCTTAGCATCAGTTGATATGTATGTGTTCGCACCAAAACTTGGCAGCCACCTCAGCGGTGACGTGGACCAGCGATGGGCCGACACTTGTTTAGTATGGTTTCAAGAAAAGTCGGCCAATTGAGAAACAAGAGGAGAAAATCTAGAAATTTAGCCACCTTATCCAATAAGGTTGTTGCTGAAATTTGGTAATTAATATTTGAGTTAATTCAAATATATTATTTCAGTTTGGATAGAAGAGATTTAGTTGGAATGAAATTCCTATGAAATAGGAATTTCGTTGCAAAGGAATAAGGAATTCAAAGGAGAGGCCGTCACGTGAGGGATAATTTGGGCAAAAGTTATGAATGGTCTTCCAGCCATTTAAGGGAAGGTTTCAGCCTAACTTAAGGAAAGGAGTTGCTAAAAGTTAGCAACTTTCCAGCAACTTTTCAGCATATTTCTTGACAACTTGCATTTGACTGGATCAAGGAGAGATTTCAGCAAGGACTTTCCTATTGAAGCAAGAAGAGAAGAGACGCAAAAGACTACTGGAACGTGGTTTAGTTTGAGTAATAAAGTGAAGAAAATCAAGGAGCAAAGAGATTTTCTAGCAATTAATTAGGAAAATAAGTTGAGATAGAACTTCTATAAATAGAAGTATTGTATTCCATTTCCAATTCGTTCAGCACCACCACAAAACATGCATTTCAACTAAAAATGTTTTCAATTGACTCTACGTCATTTTCCTATCAATTTCTTTATTTCAATTTAATGGCAATTGATTAGATCCTCGTCAATTATTTCGATTCAGCCATTTACTTTCTTTCAATTTCAATTATGCCAATTTTAATTACGCAATTTTAGTTAGGCTTTCAATTCAATGGCAATTGATTAAATTCTTGCCATTGAATCGTAGTGACAATTGATTAAATTCTTGTCATTACTTGGCTGATGGCAATTGATTAAATTCTTGCTATCACGTTTCAGTGGCGATCGATTAAATTCTTGCCATTGTGTTTGGCTGGTGGCGATCGATTAAATTCTTGCCATTGTGTTTGGCTGATGGCGATTGATTAAGTTCTTGCCACCTGTCTTCACTCGGCCATTCCATCCATTCAAACATTCATCAGCCATTGCATTTATTTAGACACTCTAAAAAGTCCTTGCTACAAACAAGGCATAAAAGAACCTTGCTGGGAGTTCTTACTAGTCTCTCTTCCACACAATCGCCTGAGAGTCAGTCATCGGAAAAAGGGATAGGCTGGTGTTCAATTACATATTTTGGGTATTTTGTACAAATACTCTGGCACGCCCGCGAAGAGTCCATCGACCGGCGTAGGGAACAAAAAACCGCGCGAACACGTTTTGGCACGCCCGGTGGGACCACTACTAGAGTGTTATAAAAGAGGCAAATATGCCGCGGCCCACAAAAAATTCTAAGGCCGTGGCTAGTGATGAAGATTTGGAGGAAGGCGATCAGCTAGTACAGGCTGAGAACTCTGCAGCAGGTCCTACTGATGAGTTAGCCGTACTTTAAGCACAGGTTAGCTCCTTGGTAGATGCAATGGGAAGGATGGGAGCACGCTACAACGACTTGCATGAAAATATGTCCCAACTCTCAACCTTTATTTTGAACAAGCCGACTCAAGCTAGCAGCTCCAACAATCAGGAATCGGCTTCTCAGCCGAATCTATCACAAGCTGTTCGGCCAGAGAGGGCCATTGAAACATCACAGCCATGGCCGCCAGTAGTGACACTCCAACCAGGTGTAACATCAAGTCAGCCGGTTCATACGCTACTCACCTGGGCAGAAAGCTATCCTCAGCCTACGTTGGCAGGTTCTAATCAGCCACCAGTAGCAGGTTCGCGGCCACAGGTAATTCCACCAAACCCTCCTCGGATGCCTTTGAACTCGGGGGGCAATCAGATCAGGTGGAGGCCACCGAACCCACTGTATACTCATGTGCCGCCACAGGTAGGGCTCGGGGGGCAGAATATGGCTAATCAGCCACATGATTGGCCAAATTGCTATCAACCAGCGGCTAATCAGCCGCCAGTTTTTAATCAAGTACCTCAAGTCATGTTAGATAGAAGACAATTAGCTGATTTACTCACAGAAGAATATGGCCTGGAACTTAGAGGTGCCGGCCGACCAATTTATAGAACTCCTTATCCAGAAGTGGTAGACCAAGTTGAGTTCCCTAGAGGATATAAAGTCCCTGACTTTGTAACCTTTAGTGGAGAGGGGAATCAATCGACCGTGGAACACATTGGCCGATTCACGGTTCAATGTGGAGAGGCCAGTGTTAGCCCGTGGTTGAAATTGAGACTTTTTCCCAACTCTTTGACAGGGGCAGCTTTTTCATGGTATATTCGTCTACCTCCTAACTCTGTTTTTAATTGGCCGCAGATGGAGGAATTATTCCACAATTAGTTCTACCGTACGGAGACAGAACCTACTCTGGCCGATTTATCCAAGCTAAGTCAATTGCCTAGTGAATCGGTCGAGACATTCATTGCAAGATTCAGGAGAGCAAGATTAAGATGTCGTGTACCTCTTCCAGAACAGGAGTACATTCGTTTGGCTTTGAACGGCCTTGATTTTGAACTTCGGAAGAGGTTTGAAGGAGTTCCATTTCGTGACATGTATGACCTGGCCGAGAAAGCTACCAGGTATGAGTTGGTTCTCAAAGAGGAGAAAGAACGAAAAAATTCCACTAAAGGTACGTACTATAGGGACCCCAACTATGAAGTTTATTCAACTGATGTGGTTGAAGAGGAAGATTTTGAAGCTAATTTAGCTGAAGTCATTCTAAAGAAGCCTTATGTATGTGACGCTTTAACAAAACCAAATGTATCCACCATGGTACTCAGCCATCGACTTCATCGGCCAGGAAGGGTACGGCTGATACTGGTAAGGTTTATA